TCCTGATCACCAAAATAGAAGGATGATAATTTAATAATTTTGGATGAAAAGTGAGAATCAATTGTGTCTCAAATAATTAATACTTAACACAGGGCATAGACCGTTATACAGATCGAGCACAATGTTGTAATCATGGGGTGTGCGATAGACTTACCTCCACGTGGTACACCCTGGCCAACGTATACTCATACGGCAAAAATGACTATCAATCTCTTACATCTTTGAAACACTCTTCTGTTCCCCCTCTCGACTTTTTTCAGTTTGATGTTCCTTCCCCTCTGTGAAGCCTGAAGTCAACTTAAAGGCTAATGGCAACCATCAAGACGCCTGCCATTTGATATAAATAAATTAATACGCTGTAATCACTGAAAAAGGTAATCTCATGCGCTCGAAGGTGCGGCCGTGGGCGCGGGGACCACCCAGCCAGCCACTAATCAATAGTCCACGCTTAGTCTAATAAGCCCTCGATTGCAATATAATGAATAAGTTCCCTACCTGTAGCTCACAACCCGAATAATGGTGGTCCACGCAGTATGTCTGTTTCTTCTATAGCTTTACGGTTGCTTCTCTAATCCTGGGAGCCTTATAAACTAAGAGATTCTACCATAGGGAGTAGTGAGTATACGTCAATATTTGATTGACTTGAACTTAGGTTAATTGACCTTTCCTAAGCTAAGTTAATTAATAAGATAACTACCCTATCTTTAATTAATATAATATGGCAGCACTATGAGTTTGTGAATGCATGATTGTCATGAATCGCAATCTAGTCTTAAGTCATAATACCATAGTTCATGTGTGGAATTATAATATAGGTGAACTTAATTTGGATTCAATTTCAAATGAATACATCTTAAATTGATCCAAATTTGGCATAAAACCGTGAGCTTTAATAAATACCCGTTTGGCCTAATATTTTTTGCCCTATCGTTTTTAAGTAAGTCAGCTTTACTAACTTGACCAATTTATTGCCGTCTTTATTGCATTTTGCAACTTTATAGTTCCAAATGTGTTTTAAATTTTGGCGTAAGAAAACGTTGCCCCCTGAAAGACGCCAACAATCTACGCCAAAACCCGCCGAAGGAGGAGGTGATAATGACGCCGTCATGGCCCAAATGAGACGCAAAATTGACGCCATAAACCAGGTTCGCGAAGCTGCCAAATTGAGAAGGAAAGAGGATGGAACAGAAAAGGAAGATCAAATCGAGCTCAAACCACCACAAGTGTCATTTTACTTGGATCCAGAACCTGAACGTTGTAAGTTTTCTTCAATGGGAACCTTCATTTTTTCATCCATTCCTAAAATTAATTCTTTTCTTCTTCCAGATGACATTGATTCGTATCTAACTCCTTCAATTATTCAATATGTAGACGCTTCCGACAGTGATGATGATGTAGAAGATGTCAATAATGATGGCAAAAAGAGATGTCTTTCATCTTAAATAAGAAATTAGTTTGGAAATAAATGTGTCCTTTTGTTGCCTTTATTACATCCACTACTTTAAATAGATATTAGTAGTAATTACCGCGGCAAGGCAATTGTATTCGCTAGAAAGTGCTAATGACAGACAGAGAGTGTAGCGGATTGCCACACTACCGTAAAGTTATAGAGAATGCAGACGCAGGTATGTCCTGCTGTAACATGGTGTGAATTTGACGAGGCAGTTATTTGACATGGTGATTTATTCGCCCGCCATGCTACAGCACGGTCATGCTGTGACCTGGAACTTAATCCTTGTTTACGCTTTCTGTCATGATAACCACGTACTGGCTTTGATGTTTGATTGGTCGCGAGGCCTCTGATTTGACATTCCAAAGTTGTGTTTCCGCAATATTTCCCCTCATGGTAGAGAAAACGCTCGTAATTTATTTAAAGAACATGATCAGTTAGGTGGGGGTTGAAATTCATCTACCGCAACGAGTTTGAGAAGGTTTGGGTCGAGACGTGGCAGGTGTTAGGACGGCAAAGACGAGAAAGTAAGAGCTGAAGGAAGTACCGCTTGCATCAAGGAGGCCAAAGTGGAGTTTATAAAATTAGTGCTCGCAGTAAATAGTTTGTGGCCATGTGGCTGCTTGGTTTCAGGTTTGGGAGTTTCATACATCTTTCGGTGTCGGCTCCAGGCTAGACTTTGAATTATCATTGGCTGTAAGTAGTTAGCAAATGCTGAGTTTCTTCTCGAGAGTCATTTTTGATTAGCTCAACCGTTTGCAGTTTAGTAGATGGCGACGGAGTTCATGAAAACTTTCGCAGGTTGATAGAGACAGTCTCTGTAGTACTTGATTTTGTGTTTTGCTCTATTGGCCAAAGTTGTAATGCTTAGAAGCCAACGCTGGATTGACATGGATCTGGTAACGTTGTCTTCTTGCGAGTCTCCGCAGTAAAATACGGAGTTTATGGTTTTTGTATTGGGTAACTGATTTGAATAGATTCTGTTGGTTCTCTGCAGTTAATTTTTTCGTTTTCCTCTTGCGCTTTTTTACGTCTCTTGGTCGAGGAAGGAGACTGTTCTGGTAGCAAGCTAGGAATATCTTCACGTATGAAGCTGGAATCATCAGTGAGATCTGAAAGTTCATCAGAGAGTTCTTGTGTATCAGTTTGGAACATCTCGGTATCGAATTCTATCATTGGATTGATCAGCATTGGAGATTGTTGACAATTAAACTGAAGGGAATTCATTATTTTCAAATCTTGGCGCTTGATGATACTAGCTGTAGGGAATGGGGTATAGGAATTTGAAAAATAGTTGTTTTCGCGTATAGAGTCAGATTCGTGTGTCGAAGAAAGCATTTTTCGGCTGAACGAGGGATAATGCTGACTTCAGGACCTGTGGAGTTTAATTTCAAGGTAGCACTGTCAATCAAGCGGTGTATGTTTTGTGATAGTAACAGATGCTGCAATAATGTTTTAATCGGCTACAGGATCTCTTCGGAGACACGACAGTAGGTGACCCGTACCAGCTGTTCTAGTTTCTCTAGTGGTTCAGTGATGGCATCCGGTTGTTTGCTAGATGGTAGCAGTAGAGGCTAAATTTTTCACTTTCTTGACGCCTGGCCTATCGTGACGGCTTTGGATGCGATCGGCCACTTCAGCTAATTTGTCAAGGTCGTCATGATGAGTCCTGTTGGTTGAACTTGATGCCTTCATCCATATTTCTTTAAGAATTTCGATATCCAGACCATAACCACTAGAGAAGGAACACATGTAGCGTAAAAGTTGAAAAGGGGTACGATCCGCAAGTTCAACTTATGAAACGAGCCGACTGATGAACAGATAGACGACTGATAACAGCTTTTTCAAGTATGTCGTAGCAGACATTTTCCGGCGGCTTCGAGCTGATACAACATTGCCTGGTAATGCAACGATATCATGCTGAAACAGCATTTTTCGTTTGGCAATGCCTCGTAGTTTTTAGTTGTATGAACCAGATATGTGGGCATCCTTGGTTGAAGGTGGGCTAACTAAAGGGAACATCTAATACGTTCACGCCAAGATCTGGTTCCTGAGACATTCAGAGCGAATAGGAGATCGAAAGGAGAGAGTCGGGAAAATGGTGATCACCAAGTGAAGTGTGCGGTCTGCGAAGGACTCGCAATGTCAGGAAAAGATTGAGCCTCGGCTGAGCAGATTATTTAAGGGTCGCCAATTTTAGCGGATTACTACACTAGCAAGCATTGACTCTACTCATTTAGAAAGGTCTCTCAGATTTAACTAAATTACCGTAAAGCTATGGAGGATATAGATGTGGAGCGCGTTTAGTTGGCACGGCGTGCTGCAACGTGGTCTTGCAGTGACCTGGAGCTTAATCCTCATATACACTTTCTGGCATGACAACCACGTACTGGCTTTGATCGCTGATTGATCGCTAAGCCTCTACTTTTGCCATGCCAAAGTTGCGTTCCCCGCAACAGAGGCAGAAATATAATTTATTGATTATAAATAACCATTATTTATTTTCAATTATAAATATAGTTGAAAATTTTTTCGACTAGTCACAAATGCCTTGATTAATTTTATGCATCTTAGCAACCTATGTCTGATAAGAATAGTAAATTCTTTACCCTTTGGCCACTTTCATTTCTTTCCTTCCTAAGAAAAAAGTTGAAATTTTGCTGAAATTGAATTTAATTCGACTTTATCCATAGATTGTGGGGAAAACAACTTTTGTATCGTAAAAGCATAGGAACGCAACATGCCTAGAAGCAAATGAGGTCACAATTTTGGAGACTTCTCAACCATTCACTGACCAAAGTCATAACATGGTTATCAGACCCGAAGGTGTATATAATGACTAAGCTCTCTGTCAACCGAACACAACACCTAATTACAACAAAAACGTCATACGTCTGTTTCCTCCTATAGCTTAGCGGTCGCAAGGCTATTTCTTCGAACCATTCCAAACAAGGAGAACTAGCCATAGAGATAACTGAGTATAGGTCAAGGCTTATTAGTGTGAAAATCCGAAACAAGCTCAAATTGCAGGCATTAATAAAGAATAGCTCAATTAACTAGAAGTCGCCTGATAGATAGTTAAGTTTCTAATATCCATAATAAGCTAATTATTGCATTGGTATAGAAAATTGACCTGTACTTTAATTGCATAATGTTCAAACAGAAATTCGCGCGACCACTGTTCAAAGAATATATGTGCAAATAGAGAGCTTATTCAAGCTTAAATTGTTGATATTTCAAGTTGACTGCCAAAGAATTTCCATCTGGGCTGAAAACATTGATAAATTCTAAATTGAAACCCAGAAAAATATTATGATGACATAAAATTATGGTTGTCCAATTATTTTAATCCATGGTTTGTTTTGACCTTGACTTTAGAGCGCTCTTTTTTATCAATTGAACTAAATAAATGATCTTCTAGTACCTACCTTATTACGTCAACGAAATAGAGTTTGTATCCATGATGAAGATGTTTTTAAGCTAATAAATTTACTTATGCGTACATTCAAAAGCTATAGAATTCTTTATCGAAAGATCAACGATAATTAATCGATACTCTTTATCTTATTCGTCAATAGTTATTTATTTATACCAAATGGCAGGCGTTTTGGTAGTTATCATTAGCCCCTTAGTTGACTTCGGGTTTCGCAGAGAGGAAGGAACATCAAAATGAAAAAATTTCGAGAGGAGGGGAAATGAAGAGTGTTTCAAAGACGAAGGTTGAAAATTTAGAAAAAATGTGATGTAGTACTGTGGAAGTGATCGAATATGTCATACAGTGAGGTCATGGTAGTTCGAAGTCAGAAGTCAACTGCCAGTTAATAGACTTTTTACCGTGTGAGTATGCGTTGCCCATGGTGCACCACGTGGAGGTAAGTCTATCACGCACCCCTATTCGTTAATGGTAGTAACTGTTTTTATATCAAAATTACATAAAAATACGAAACGTTTTCCATTGAAAGCCCAATACTTGGTTACATTAATGACAAGGTGACGTATTACCATACTTTATTCTTGCATTACTAATGGAAACTCTCAATCTTCAAATTTCGATTGAAGCACAATCGCTGACAATATTTTGGTCGTAAACTTTCCTTATCTGACTTTCACTATTAGTTCTTCGAACAAACCTGTAGGGGATTGCTGCTTTATTAA